ATATATAACATCTTATTATATACTTCTCTTATTCGTAGGACGCCGACCCTTGACCATCTGGGGATTTGCTGGACAGGGTCTTTCGCACTTAGCGTTTGTATTATGCTTAGTCTATGGCTTCACCTGGCCATCTGTGCTGTGTGTATTGGCTGGCGTAGCGTGGTATGTTATACGTTTTCAGAATGTTATACGTTTTCATATACAGTGGAGTGTATACATATATATGTTTTCCGCAGGCGCCGTGTATGTAGTATAACACGAGTATTCTGTGATGTGTTTCGTTCTTGGATTACAGAAATATCAATATAAAATAAATCAATACTGGCACCTATAAAAATTTCTAAATCAATACTGTCACCTATATATATTAGTTGTAAAATACATGTATTTGTTCTGTTGCACATGCCACACACACATTATCTGACTGGTCTCTCCTTACAGTTTCTCAATAGGCCCTGGACCAGTGCCATGGATGTTAGCAGGTGTGTAGGAGTAACCTGATTCTGATACTATCTTAGGACATTCTGATATGTTTGTAATGTCTTCTTGTAGGATTTTAGGGTTTTTAGTATGAGTAATCTGATTCTGATACTATCTTAGGACATTCTGATATGTTTGTAATGTCTGCACTTTTATGTAGCTGTATGATGTTATTATATATGGTTACGTTTGTCCTCACATCCGTAACTGTATGGACATGCACATGTACGAAAGATATGCAATTCCTTCATCGCTGACATACTAGCAAAGTGTACCGAACTTCGGCATATCGGCGACACATAGGGTCAACTTTGTGATTTCCTATAGGCCGAAGTAAAGCTATCAATCGGCAGGAGACTAAGACAACTTCAGTAGGCCATACACTGAGAAGTCTGCGTTCCCCATACCGGCCCCAGCATACCATCTGGAGTGGTGATTTTTGCTGTAAACAAGTTTGTGGTCGTAGATTTCAATAAGCACAGACATTATGGGAAGCTTCTGCGCCGCACCGTACAAGTATACACTGGATTATTGCTTGACGCCGTATGTCTTACTTTAATCTCATGCACGTTAGCTACTACATACGTTCTTTGCATTTCTTAAAATGTACATGGCAAGTTCTCATATAGACGGAAACAAATCGCGTTCAAAGTCTTGTTTTTTGATGAACACTTTATAACGTCTCTTCGCGCGCGCTGTCGTAGGCTTATTATATTATACACATCTACTTCTACCCATAAGCCATTTTCTGTTATGTTTTTGATGGTATCACTCATACTCTCTCGTCCGACCCCAATTGTAAGCGGTCTAGCGCTCCACACAAACACCCAATCGCATATCGTTCATCTGCTCGCAATCCATGTACGTGTCAGAACTCCCTACAGACACACACACAGCCTCCTGGCCCAATCTGTCCTAATACCATAGACACACAGACATACCCTGTGCACATGCTCACGTGTTCCATGCACCTGTTACAACGGTTTCTGGCGCACAGGTGAATTGATACCCACGCGGCTAGTATCGAGTGCGGTGATGCTGGTGGCCATTGTGAACTGGATCTTCACCTTTGTGATAGGTCAGGCGTATCCTCTGATGAACGATGCCCTGGGACCCTATTCGTTTGCTCCCTTTGCAGGTAATGTGTGTTGTGCATGAATGGTGTACACATAACACATATCATGCATCATACATGAATAAGACCCTTTGTGATAGGTCATGCCATGTGCCCATACACCCGTCTGTGTATTACTCACGACTACCACATAACACCCTAACAACCGTAAAAAGCCTTAAAACCCTGGGTGTACTGTTCCTGCGCATTAATCATACGCATGACTCATTTGCTTTGTACCGGGCAGTGTCCTGCTTCCTGGTAGCTCTGTATGCGCACACAACAATGCCTGAGACCAAGGGAAAGACCAGTGAAGAGATTGACGCCCTATTTGGCAACCAGGCGGGCGGAGTGCGATACATACCCCTGGCGCAGAGGTATTCACAGTAATAGAGCTCGTCGCAAAAATGGTTTTAGACGTCTGGTGTCGTAAAAGCATAGACGTTGCCATAAAGGGTGATCAGTGGGACAGCGGGCGAGATATATTCCAGGCGAAATGGTATTCACACTGAGATAGCTCACTGCAAAGTATGGATTACGATATCTGGTGGCGTAAATGCATAGGGGACGTTGCCATAAACGGTGTTCGTGCGGGTGGCGGGCCATATTCTCCCTGGCATAACAGCAATTAGAGTGCGAGTTCGCGTGCGAGGGCGTCTTGTGGTGGGTGTTTGCGACGTGGTGCTTGTTTGCGACGACATTGCGTCTTGTAGTCGCGCGAAGGGCGCCTTATTGAGCAACCCGACAGGACACACGAGATGCATTCTACTGTGTCACTTATGTCCACAGTGACAGTGAGAGAAGATGAGCGTAGGGTGGGTATGGTATAATGCCTTACCAACCAAGTATGCGTAGTGAATACAGCACGTTGCGTGGCTTATACGACATTTGAGATGTGGTACATATATGTACAGGTTTAGAAATGCATCTAAAAGTTAATAACCAACACTAGGCTAGACATGCGTTGCATTTCTCTGACCTACTGGGTATTTCTTCGGAGAACACGATTTGCGACGCTTGTTTACGACATTCCTGTCGTATATCCAAATAGGTCGCCGTTACTCTGCAATTAGATGGAGAGTATACTATGTTATCTGTATGAAATGAGACGTTCACAAAGGAACAGGCTCCATGCGACCTTGTTGGCGATGTTTGTGAGCGGAACACACGAAGAATAGCACCTTGAGCGATCAGGCAAGGACTGTACAGTGTATATCACCTTGAAGGTCGGACATCGACAATGAGGTAGTAATTGCGGATGAGTGCATACGACAACATTGTCGTACACACGAGTGTAAAGCCGTGTCCAAGCGCACATAGTTGGCGTGGTCTATGTGCTTTGTTCCTCAGTGTATAAGGACAGGTATTCGGTCAACCTTGTTACACTTCTTCACCACATCCTGCTGTCTATGTACACCACAGTGCATAACTGGGTGGCGCAGACCTGAAGCCCATGGACTATGCGAGTGACTTACCCTGCCCTGTCTTGGATTCACAATGAATGAGAGAGCATCTGATATCAGACATAGACGTGACTTATGACTACTTGTTGATATCAAAGTTTTAGGGTTTTAGTATGACAACTTCTTGGTATTAAAGTATGGCGAGGGTCACCCTAGTGTGCATTTCGGAGATTCTGCCTAGTTTCTGTTCTCAGCCACTCAACCCGTACAGCTGGAGGGCGTATTTGCAACAGTAGTTTACGACATCGTTCGTCGTAAACGTCATGAGGGTTACCTTTGGTGGCCATCAGGCGAGATTCGTCCTGTCGTTGTCATAGTGAAAGGGCTACCCAGTAGAGGTGTTTTTTTTTCAACGACATTCTACGTCGTATATTTAGTTATTATGTCCGGTGATCAGGCGGGAAATCTACAATAGAGCCTCCTGGTGGCTGGTAAGTTTTTCGCGAAGAAGCAGCAATTGGAAAATGCGCTCTCGAGGGTTCAATATCACCGCTCAAATCAAATAGGCAGAGGCTGCGCGATATGTTCTCACTTCAGAAGACAACTGTCTTGATATATATATATATATATATATTAGAATATTAGATAGATGTATCGATCGCGGATAGTTCAAACGACCCCACTCGAACATACTTATATGCTGAACCAGATCTATAGAGCGCCAGACTGGCAAATAATCTAAACGCAGAACTAGCACAATATTGTCGCAGAAGTGTGTCGCCTATATATATATATATAGATATATATATATATAATGCAGGTCACTATGTGACTGTATATGTATGCATAGAATCAATGTAACATCTTTATATATATATTTAATACAGGCCACTATGTGATTGTATATGTATACAAATAACTAATGTAATATCATATATATATGTAGAAACGACGTGTAGTAAAGAATGTATATATATATATATAAAATAATCAGATATGCACAGATGCATGTAATATATGCACACATACTATATACATATATATATATTCCTATACCTATATATATATACATATAAACGTACACATACTCGCATAATTATATTCATATTTACATGTGCATATACATATGCAAATACAGAATAGATAGACACAGACATATATATATACTCGCATAATTTTATTCATACGTACATATGCATATACATATACAAACGCAGAATAGATATACACACACACAAACACACACATATATATACATATATACACACATATATATACATGAGTGTGTATACCTATGTTTTATGCATATATGATTGTATCGTTTACAAGTTCTGATCAAGCAGCTGTATATACGTAAAATCACTGTTGGTTGCGTAGCCAAGTAATACAAATTCTTAGTCGTTAATTTGAACTTTTTACCCTGCCAAAGTCACCTGTTTACGTCTGTGTGGAAGGATAAAGCTCGCACAGGACATGACATCTGGTATCAGTGTATATAAATATATATGTATATATATAATAGTATATGTATTTATATATGTGAATGCACATACGTCTTTACGTTAAAGCTATACGAACATACATATGCTTTACGGTCACATAGGCCATAGTACGTTCGTATCGGCGTGAGAGAGTACCTTCCAAGCTCCGCCCAAACGAGCATTCCCCACCACCGTCTCTCGCAACAAATCCTTCAACACCATCCCAGTCAACAAGTGCAATTCGCATCAGATGCAACACCATACTGAAGCCCTATACCAAATATACAAACCAGCCCTCCCAAGATCACACTACACAATCAAGTTGGTGTCGCGCGCCTTAAAATCCCATATCCCGAGTCCCAAACCCCTCACCTAGCCCGAGCCGGACTGTGGCTCGATGCCGAATACATTCCGTTCCGAGCGCATAGAGTGGCGTAGAAGCCCTTATTGCCCAAAATTATCTCTTCACATATCAAACCATATTCACCGGGGCATCAGATTCTCTTCGTTCTCTCGCTTCCGAAAGCTTCACGACGAATGCGGACCCAGGCTTTGCGGCCACCTTCCTGCGGTACATCCGCATGAACTCACTCCAGAACTATCGCTCGCTTTAGTAGAATCCTCGGCTACAAGTTGCTTACAGTCCACTATTTTCATGCGCATACCCCTACTATATACATACATACATACTTACATACACGCACTATATCTGCGTATATGCATATATATACACGCGTCCATTCGATAGCAGAATAACCTTAGCCCATGAAGTTAAGAACCCATATGTGTAGTATAGCATTGCATAGAATATAGTCAGCAAACGCTCTCTTGGGTGTTGATTCAGGGTACATGATCATATCCTCCTTAGCCTGCATCCTGAGACTGACTGTCAGCACAAACGTGCCTATACAGCTCAGAAACCCGGCCAAGAACGAGTTGAACGGGTCCGTGCCCACCAGACAGGCGTAAACAAACTGTATGACCCCCACAGCCATCACATACACCAAGAAGCAATCGATAGCCTTGAGCTTACCGGGTGTGACTTTGTTGTACTTGGCGAATGCGATGTTAACCGCCTCGCCAAGTGTGTGGCGTTCATTGGATGCTGGTTTAAGGCTACCAGCGCGTGTCACCGCAGCACTGGCAGATGTGGCCGAGTTGCCGCTCTCCTTTTTAGACGCTACTGACTTAGCCATATCTTTCAGTGATTCTACTTCAACGTGTGTGTTGTATCTTGTTTAGTGTTTGTGCTTCAGGGTGTGCCGTGTCTAAAACACAGTTATATAGCTGGCTGCTATGTTGTTGTTGTTGTGTGTGTGTGTCGGCGCTTGCGCTGCTTTTGGCCGTGAAAATACCTTGCTGCAAATTCTTTGTTTTTCTTTTTCTTTTTGCACCTGTCCTGAATGTCATGACACGGACCACGACCAGGTCCAAATTAAAAGTTGGTAAGTACCGAACAGCTACTGTTTAGGATGCTTTTTTTGTGTGAAATAAAAAATAACTAAACTATGTACCGAACAGTTTGATATAGACTTTTTCCAGGAGGGTAGTGGGTTTTTGAAGCAAACCCCAAATGCAAACGCCGAAAGGTGTTTGTGAGTATTCACTGAAAGAGGTTAAACATTTTAGGTGCTCTGTGGGACAATATGTTTCAGGGGTTTTAAAACCCTAAAGGACTGGGGTCTGGTTGTGGCATACGTCATATACAAGTCCAGCTTCGTCCTCTTGGCCGCAGTGGGTCTTATCATTAGCATATGTGTCAAGATAAACGCAGGTGTAAAGCCTGTCTCTTATTAATACTAGCCAGAGGCATAGGCAGAGAGTCCCTACAGAACAGACAACCGATCGTCAAGGATATTTAATGGTGGAATGGGGAACTGGTACAATCCTGCCCATTTCCAGTCGCACCAGCGTCACATTCGATAGACTGATTTGACCTGAACATTGTATACTTTTTACCGCGTTTTTATTGGTCGTGGGAGGAATCTGCACAATTCACTCCCTTTTCATTGAACATTTGGGGGTAATGAGCTCTCCACTGAAGGCCACACCAACTAGACAATCCCATCTGCTGTTAATGCTTCGGCTGTCGCTCAGGCGTCTAAACTGGCACGCTACAACCAGGACAAACCTTATTCGTGTAATTACACTCGCTAGTACATTTCCCATGAATATTATACACTCGAATCCTGTCTCATTTCCATTGTTACAATTGTATTATATCCATCAATACATTGGCTATTGTGTCCAGGGGGAAACATCTCGGAGATATGATTTATGATGGAACATTACATGTATGCGGTTGCTTAACGACAGCTTGATTGTATGTTTTGATTGGATGGTGGAGTGGGCAAAGCTCGTTTGGACGTATTTGGATGGGATATACGAATATCATTGAGACAACACTAGCCATTTGTACGCAGGCATAGGCGATTCGGCGATACGGCGAGTTAAGTATAGAATGCTGTTGGCGCCGCTTAACCCACTGCGCTGAGGCGATTTGAATGGTTGTCGCTTGTTCACGCTACATTATCAGCGATCTGATTGGACAACAACCGCACATAGTATACTTTACGCAATCCAGTTGGCTTGCCCTTCGCCTTGCCCTGGCAGCCCATCCGTGGGCTCGATAGCCGTTGCTTCCTTCTATAACACTGCTGGCGCAGAGTTGCCATGCCGTTGCACGCCGCTTTGTGGCGGTACACATCACAATCGAAGAAAAACACACAGCGTTATAGTCTAAGTCTCTACTTAGGAGACAGCCTTTGGGCTGTGGGTGATGATGGAAAACGCCCAGCGTTATAGTCTAAGTCTACTTAGGATACAGCTTTGGGCTGTGGGTGATAGATAGCTGTAACAATAGATGGAAAACAACCAGCGTTATAGTCTAAGTCTACTTAGGAGACAGCTTTGGGCTGTGGGTGATAGATAGCTGTAACAATAGATGGAAAACAACCAGCGTTATAGTCTAAGTCTACTTAGGAGACAGCCTTTGGGCTGTGGGTGATAGATGGCTGTAACAATAGATGGAAAACACCCAGCGTTATAGTCTAAGTCTACTTAGGAGACAGCCTTTGGGCTGTGGATGATAGATAGCTGTAACGGATCTGTGCAAGAGCAGTATCATTGAACATCCGCTGCGGTAGTCCGGACTATGTCTTCCCAGTGTTGTATTTGCTGGTGCGTGAAGAGAGAGAGAGAGAGAGAGAGAGAGA